GTTTGGCTGGCTTTACAGACAAATGCTTCTTGAGACTGGATCGATCTTTTAATTTCCTCACTCATTCGTCAATGCTCTGAAACGGGTTCTCTGCTGTTAACGTTTGGAAATGTTAGTATCACGCACGACATCACTTGGTGAATATAATATATTTTGAAAGCATTATTTTATTTTTGATTGATTAAAGTATAACTTTGACGAAATGAGTTGGCACTTGTTCGAAGATATTTCCTTGCTCCGTCACCTAGTGAAATATTTACTGTCCAATTATGTGAAAACTTACAACATTGTTAACTGACATAGCTAGAAATATTTCGAGAAGCATTATAATTTCTCCATGGTCAGTTTCAATAATTCTTCATTTTCTAATTGGACATTTCCTTTGTAAAACTGTCAAGCATTGATTTGTCCACTCGGTTATGGATAAATATGTATACGATTTTATACTGTTAAGCTAGAAAACGCGAGAGCGCGAGTTTCCGCGGCCGGAGTGAGTATTTAATCGGCTGTCCGGGTGACGCCGCGTCCATGGCGAAGGTACCGACGTTTGGGTCGCGATTCTGCCACCTCCTCATTGCGTAATGCTCTGAGAATTAAATAAGCAAGGAAAGGTATCTTAATTCACTTGCTGAGCTGTCCAGCACTTTGCAGAAAAATACTGTTGGACGATTTGCAGCTAAACAACGTCATGTAACAAATAGAATTACTTCGTCAGTTCAACGAATACCTGGAGAAATGTTTTATTACCTACGTCCTCCTGAGAACAACTTGCATATTCTGAATTGTGGTCTGCATCACTGCTAGTATTACGATCGGCACACAATCTACATCCGCAAGTGTATCATACGAACTAAAAATGTCCGAGTTCCTACTTTCAAAAATGTATCTTACCAAAACATTGTCTTAAGATATTCATGATCTATTTTCAATCATTATCCATGAATCAAGCTTACGCAGGTATCTCATCTGACATCATAAAGATACTCTTACCCTCAAAATTTATTTCAAAGCACAGAAAAAATTGAATTTGGAAATTCAATTACACTTTCGTAAGTCCAAACTCTCTGCAAGAACATCAACCGTCGACCAAGTGCCTTTTGAAAATCAATTACTCCACCCTTGCAACATATAGCAAGGAAGAAAAACAAAAAGACAATGGGCAGGTGAAATTTGACGGGAAAACGAACAAATAACGAGGAGATTGGGACCCACTGGAACACGCACTCAACTGAAATGTAAAGTGAAATATAAAGTAGGATTTCCCAATAGTATCCTTTTGAGAGATGATGGGACATGTATTCCACTGGGAGCGAAATAGCCAGAAAATCTTCCGCTCATGGATGGCAAGGTGAAGACCTCAACATAGACACTTACGAATCAGAGGCTCCAAGCGTCCTAGAAGCAACTGTCGTTGAAATGAACCATACAATAGTTTTTAAAGCGCATTCATTTCTTTCGGTGCTGCTATCCGAATGGAATAACATAATTGTCATGGTACAGGGAATTCGCAAATTAGGAATGAAATTGATAATTTATCTAATTTTGAAGTTTCATTAGATTTCATTGTAAGTTTGACGCAGTTTACATTTCTCTCCTGGTCTTCAAACGTTTATCTAGCTAATCGCTGTACTGCACGGTGCATGCGCCTGAACTGCGTGTGTCGGTTCTCAACTTCCTGCACCCATTCTTCGTGATTTGCACGGTTTTACTTTCTTTGTCTCTACATCCTTCTTTTAGATTGTAGAACTGTAGATTTCGATGATTATTGTAAACTACTAGATCCGGCAATGATTCTCTATTGTAGTGTATTGCACATCATACACTACTGGTCACTTTATTGTTTAACCCGTTTTACGCTGCGCTGAGCAAAACTTCTAATATGTGACAGACTTTCTCACAAGTGTGAGTTTGTTCTATGTCCTGATTGTGAATTATACCCTTGTTTAAACCTCTCCCTCAAATTTGTGCAAACGTTCGGACACTATCTTGGAGAAATTTGATGTACTTGTTCAAGATTCAAGCAATACGTCTGGCAAATTGCAGGGGCAGAATACTTGTATGCAGTGAACACGCGCATCATCCTTGACTGTGCGGCGGGTTGCGTAAAGTCAAGGGACGCTGGAGTCGTCATAAAAAAATAAATCACACCGAATAAATCCCCCCCCCGACATGCCCTATTACTTCATATCACTCTTTAATCCTAACAGTCCCATTACTAATAAAAACAAAGTGCTACAATATCTGCAAAATCGGTCGAGTAATTTTGGCGTCTATGAGCAACACACACACACACACACATGTATATGATATATATATATATATAATATATATATATATATATATATATATATATATATATGTGTGTGTGTGTGTGTGTGTGTGTGTGTGTGTGTGTATATATAATCATTGTTACGATGATCGAAGAAACCCGCAGAACCCGTTCGTATGACGCGCCGCCAATGACGCCTCCAATGAGGTGCGAGTTTGAAGCACCAGATTGATATTCGGCTTTCTCGTTGCACTACTAGGGGCGCTCGGGCTGCGCACTTTCCTTGACGCGATGCTTGAAGCTCCCTCTTCACACGGACGGCCGGAGGTTCAAGACGTGTAAAAATGTCGTTCCGTTGTGTTTTTAAGAATAAACTCAAGTAAGTAAAGAAAACGTGCGTTGAATGGTGCTATTATATTTCTGTAATTTTTGTGTGTCACGTGAATATTTTTAATGTCGGATTTGTCCGGAAATCTTTCCAATAAGACTCATTTTGTCGGCGTTTGAAAACGTACGAGTCTATTTTGACATCTGCTTATTTCATGGTTCGTGTGGTGGTGCTATGATTTAATCATTAAAATTCTCGGAAAAGTGTCGTGGAAACGTGATTTTGAATACCGCAACTGTGTAAAGCGGAATGGAAGAACACGCTGAAAAAGAAAGAATAATTGTTAGACCTCGAAATGGCGACGGCTCAGACGTTCCTTTAGAATGAGGAAGTTTGTGGCATTCTTTTCTGCCTTTATGAATTCTGTCGTATATAACATTTACAGTTTAATCTGAGTGAAACGAAATTTGTGATTATTAGTTATTATTAACATGAATATGTTTTAAACCACAAACACAAAAGGAAAAAATACTCGGCATGTAATACGAGTTGAAACGAGTTGTGAAAAAAAAATTTTTGAATGCTAAAAACTACACGTTCATTAATAATTTTCACAAATATACCAAAATATATATTTTTGCAATTTTTTCAATTTTGTTTTTATGTGCAGAAAAAAACTTTAGTAAAACTATTAGTAATTTCTGGAAAAAACCGGTAGTGACAATGGTAAATATTAAAATTATTTATCTTTAACTTCTTAGAGTATTTTTATCAATCATAGAAAGAATTAATTGTTTGTCTCATTGTACCCATTACAGGCAGTGAAGTTTCATTTAATTTTCGTTAATTTCATTCAATTAACGCTAGGTTGGTAGCGCCGATCTTTTGGTAGCATCGGGCAATTCGTAGAAAGTTACGAAGAAAAAATGTGTCGGCTAAAAAAAAGCAGAATATGCATTACAGCTTGCGTACATTACTACAATTATAACAAATAATTGAAGTTAAAATTCTTATTAAATTTATATCATTCAATTTATCATTTACAAACAAATGAAACTAGTGTGCAAACAATTAGTAATTTCAGGAGCAATCTATTAAAGATTAATATAAAAGATTATTATTTGTGAGATCAATAATAAAAATTGTAAATTTTATTTGTCTCATTTATTCGCGAAAAGTGACTAGAAAATAGTTGTTCATTTCTGGCGATACACGCTCGAGAAACTTAATTTAGTTATCTTCGGTTGGTAGCACCGGTCATTTGGTATCACTGAGTGACGACGCGTCAGGACGACATATCCTGGATGTGCGTTCCGCTGTGATCAAATGTCCTAGGGCTTAGTCTGTGCTAAACGCGATTTTGAACATTGCATTAAGTGTGGTCAGTGTGTTCGAAAGTTGGTAAAGATTATTAAAGAAGCTTCTGCAAAATAACGAGCGTGTTTTGTGTGAAACGTTCCACAGCTGGAGAAAACATTTTCGTCTCTATCATCGAAGTTTCAAGATGCTAAAGTAAGTTTGCATGACGCCTCCGCATTTTTCTGATACATTTGTGCTGGTGCTGAATCAAAAAACAAGTTTATGAGTGCAAAAAGTATGTGGCATACGTTAATAACTGGTTTACATTATTACAATTATAGCAACTTATCTTACGTGTGCATTTTTTTATCAATATGTTACAGTACGGCATTATTTGACGGTTCGTGTTGTTCTGCTATTTGATTCCTAAGTTTCTGCCGAATTGTGAGTGATAAGTTTGAATTCCATCGAAAGTTTAGAGAAGTGGTGAAAAAGAAAAAACGTTCACGGAGCTCTCGAAATGGTGACGGCAAGTGTTCGTAGACAAAGGGACATAGAGGCTTTCTTTGTGGCGCTTATGAATTCAATTATATAAAATATACAGCTGTTTATTTATTTGTTTTATTAAATGTTTGGATAGTTATTCTGCAAGTGAAAGAAATAACTGATTAATAGCTATTATCATTTAAACGAAAAACAAGAAATTAAAAATACTTAATATGAAATTCGAAACCACTTGTATTTGCAAGTCGTGAAAAAAAACCTAAATATTTGTGATTGCTTAAAACTATCAGGCGTACATTGAAATTTGTTTCCGTTATTATCATTATAGCGAATAGTTTGTATTCGTTTTTTTATAATAATATTACAAAATTTGATTTGTTATTTTTTTTTAAAAATGTGAATTTTTTACGAATTATTAGTGACGAATATTGAAAGTATTATTTTTTCGTTTTATTCCAGAAAACAGCTGTCAGACGTACAAAATAATAATCATTTTCTGCAGTGCAAGATTGTGCCTATTCCAGAAATTGAAACATATATATTTGGTTGGTAGAAGCGCTGCGTTGGTATCACTGGGTGCTGACGTGCTGGGCCGACATTTCCTGGAAAGGCGTTCGCAAGCCGCAAGCTGCAAGCAAATGTCCCGGCGAAGCTGCGCATGGCGGACGCGTTTATCGATTGCTGCAGGACATCGATTATATCGACTGAAAGTCGGAGAAAATCATTTGACAGCAATTGTCCCTGCAAAATAACAGCGAGCGAGTTTTTGTATACACGTAGCGAAGCTGGCGGAAACGTTTTCGTCTCTAGTGTCGGAAGTTTCAAGATGGCGAAGTAAGTTGAATGAACCATTTTTGCTTGGATATCTTTCTGTCTTCTTGCTATTCACATTTCTTCATTTCCTTCGTTATTTATTTCCACCTCCTTTTTTATTTGTTTTGCCTTTCCACTCTTTTATTACTCACATAAATTAAGGTCTTCTGGCCAGTTCAGTTAGTACAGTTAAATTCAGTGTCATCAGAACTCATTTTATTTAAAAAATGTCATTCTGTTTCTTTTAGTTCGAGGTAAAACTTGCGAAGACAATAAAATACATCGCAAATTAACATTCCATAGAATGAATTCTAAAATTCGCAAAGTTGTCTTTCTCTCCGTAAAGACATGAATTGTCTTTCTTTGAAATGTACAGGTAAGAAATAATAATTAATGCTGTATGCAATTCAATTCTTACTTCAAAGAGTCAGTACTGTACGAATTTCTTTTGGAAGTGTCTATGACTTACTTTTTAATGAATGATGTAGCCTTGCTAATGTATTTTTTAATGGATGTTGAATTATGTAAAACATTTCCTGGACAAAATATCTTATATGTATGTGTACACACAAATATATTTGTGTGTACACAAGTAAAACGTTTTTATTATGTCACCAATTGCACTAGGGTTTTTTTCTTTTTCAGTAATTAATAAGTATAAAGTGAGTTAAGGAGGAAGAGAGTGAAGATAATGAGGTGAAGTAAATTAGTCAGAAAATGGCGATACATGTTTTCGTTGCTGTCAGTCAAGTGTTGAAATGACAATTCGTGAACTGCTAGGATTTTCATTTTGCAGGTACTTCAGTAATATCATTCTTCAAGTCTTATTTTTAGAAGAATTTATAATTCAAACCCTACGAATAATATTTTTATATATTTTTGTTTACAGAAGAGTTGCTGAAACAAGTCACTTATGAGTGACTTTTCTCACTAAAGTCAGCAATTTGTCAGCAGGCGCTTTGACAGTTTGTGGCTTGTCAGTAATTGATAGCTTCGACAGTATTCATGAATGTAAGTACTAACCTTTCTTTTCAAAACTTTCCTCCTACAATCCAATATTCTTTACATTACCAAACTTTGTTTGATTTTGCAGTTCATTTCTAAATGTTGGCCAAGTGAACAGCACAAATATATCTCAAAGAAGACTCGCTATAAACAAATGCTTATGAAAGAATTGAATCGGTAAGTTTAAACAACTATTTACAACTCAACATTCTGTATTTATTTCCTGTCATTTGCATATGCTGTATTCTCCACTGCCTTTTAGTAGCTAATGTAAAAATTGTGCAATTTTATTCAGAAGATTCTTTAATGATAGTATTTTGGTACTTTGACATACTAGAGAAACCTTTCCTTATTTTTGCTTACTACGAAGAATGGTACTCAAATTGGACGTAAGAATTACAAATTTCCTGTATTATAAATAGTCGCATAATTTTGTGTGAGAATATATGCTTAGTAAACTTGAACCTCCTCCTCTTTCAGTGCTGTTTAATCAGAACCCACAAATATTGTTATTCCCTCGCGCAATAGGATATTCCCAGAGAAAATTGTTTTTTTGAAGAGGGAGTAATTAGTTTTTGCTATTTTTTTACCAAATTATTTCGTTTATTAAATGCAATAAGCTCACAATTTTTAAAAGAGTATTGATAATGTATGAAATTATTTCCAAAAATATATTTTGCGTTACATCTGTGATGAACTTCAGTTTTATTAAATTTCTACATTGTAATTTGTACATTTTTGGAATAATTGTAAAATTATTTGATGAGTGATTCTATTGCAAGCTAAGTTGTCACCATCCAGTGTGTATGTTTTATTAATTGAAAAACATATTTTATCTTGGATTATTTATTTTAATTTTACTCATAAGTGTGATAATTTTTATGGTGACTATGATTGCTTCGTATATATTTTCGGAAACGAAAAGTATTTTTTGCCCAAAAAGTTTGGGTAACACTGATGTGTAATATTTGAGAGTCAGTTTTTATTTAATTCACTTCGTCTATGAAAGTGCAAACCTTTGTGACGTATGGAGGAGAAGTTTAATCTTCGGTGGTTTACTAGGCTCCAGAAGTCCTACCTCCTAATTTTTTTAACTTTATTTTATCCGATCGACCAAATGGCCTTCCAGTAGTGAGAAACGTATTTTCATTAACGCAATGGAAACGTCCTTAAGTTATTTCGAGTGTTCTTATTGGCAAGTACTGTTCATAAAATTTTAATTTTGTTATATATCTGTTGGTTAATTATTTAGGGAAAGGGTAGTACAGGTAAATTTTTGAGGCTTTGGAAATTATTGGTTGAATTTTGATTTTAAGGCTGTTTGAAGATGTCTTTAAGGAGCCTTAATTTAATTCTGATTGAGTGTTTGCTTGTCATAATTGATTGTCCAAATAGATTGTATTTGGGCAGGATGGTAAGAGAGAGAGATACATTTCGAGAATAAGCTGATCAGATGGTCTGTAATTAATGACATTTGGAATTCATTATGAATTTGTCTATAGGATGTAAACTATGGTAAGTCTTCGGAGAAATTTGATTTGGAAAGTTTGTAAAGAGTTGATATTACTAGGTGCAAAATTTATCCAAGCTGGACAGATATGACAGTATGGGTCTGATGATACTTTTGTAGCGACGCACTTTGGTTCCAACTTTTAAAGCGAATCGATGATTGGATATATTTTGATACCATTTGCTGTTTCTTTTTGTAGGACTAACTTAATGTGTTACTTCCATGTTAATTGTTTGCCTATTAGTACTCCGAGATATTTTATGGGTGAGGAATTGTTTGACCAGGGAAGTTGGGTGTTAATACTTTTTAGAGGTATGTGTGTGTGTGTGGGGGGGGGCATGAAGATCTTTGTGGTTTGCGGGATTGATCTTGAGTCTTGATTTGTGAAACCAGCTGGTAAGAGTGTGAAGGTGCGATTGAATGATCATGAATCATGATCATGATTTTATAAACATATCATCATGATCATGAATGATATGATCATGAGCATGATCATATGCTTATAAAATGTTTTGGTAAGATATATTAGGATATGTTGCTGTGAGATGATCTGCAATATAAATATTGAAGGGGATGGGAGAAAGTACAGATCCTTGAGGGACACCTGCAAGAATACTGTGTTAGAAAGAATTTGTTGTACTTTGACCTGGAAGGTTCGATTTGTTAGTTAACTGAATATTTTTAGGAAGATCGTCAGGAGTTCCAAGTTGTTGAATTTTATAGTTTGCCTTGATGCCAAATGCTGTCACATGATTTAGTTATGTCTAAAAATTCAGTTATTGTGTGCTCTTTTGAATGAAAACGTTTTGCTGTATATTCGACTAGTGGTGATAAGGGATGACTTGTTAAATGATTTGGCTTAAAGCCCAATCGTATATTGGGTATATTGTCATTTGTGTTTAAGAAAAGAACTAGGTAATTGAGAATTAATTTTTCGAAGATTTTACCTATGGATAGGAGCTGGGTCTGTAATTTGAAGTCATTACGATTAGTTTTGGGGTCATTTAGTTGGGAAATAATTGCATGTTTCCATGTATGGGGGAAGTAGCCAATTCGGAGTGTAACATTGAAGATGTTACTAAGATGCTGGTATTTGTTATGTTTGTGGTTATTGATAAAAATTTTATTTCTTTGAAAATTGGTTTAGTAACTTTTAGTCATGTTCATTACTGGTTGAAATCCATTGGTGTTTAATGGCAAGATTGGTTTTGACTTGCTTTATGATGTAAGAAGGAAGTGGACCAATGTGTAGTTTGTTAGTAATAATACGAGTTAAAGTGGATTCAGAATGAGCTTATGTGATTGAGTCATGTTCATGAAAGTGTTGTTAATGTCACCATTATCTCATATATGATTTGGAAATATTATTTTTTTGTTAATTAGAATTTTAAATACTTGTATTAAGTATACTATTGTATTATAATGTTGTGATGGTGAATTGTCATTGGATATGTCGATAGTAATTTTGATAGGCAGGTGATTTGAATCCAATACTGGTCCTACTGTTAGTTGAACTGCTTGGTAAATAATTCTAGTTGCAACTAAATGTAGATTATCTGGGGGTATATTTGTGTTGAAAGAGTATCAAGTATGGAACTTGGAGAATGTATGTACATGTTGTTGCTGAGTCTGTATTTAAGTAGTATTTTGCTATGATAGTCTGTTGTGTTACAGCCCCAGTCTAGATTTGTGCAATTTAAATAGCCAGTAATTGAGGTTGAAATGTTTGAAGAAAATATTTGATGTAATTCATTTGTAGAAAATTTTTGGTTTGGAGATTTGTAAGCAGAAATAATGTTACTTGGTCCAATATTGTTGCTAATTTCAATTCCTACAGTTTCTAGGTTAGTGATTGAGGGTGAGCGAATTTGTAAGCGATTGAGTTTACTGTTGCTTACTACTGCAATTACTATTGCTGTTCCTTGAGAGGCTATTAGTATGCATCTATCACTTCTATATATTCTTTGATCATTTAATTTTTTTCTCTGCAACTAGACCACACACACATACACACACACACACACTTTTTATCTCTGCGTGATTCGTACTTTTTATAATGATTTTCAAATTTAGCTTGATCGTTTTCTTTAAAATCAGATACTTTCATCCTGGCGGCATGAATTTTTTTTGCTTTTCTAGCGTAATTATTTCAGATTTGTGTTTTCCACTTCATTTATTTATTTGAAATGTACCAAGATTCGCTTTAGATTAACTTTTTAAGTATTAGCCCTTGCCCAATGATTTCAAACAAACCATTAAGTTGAACCGTTGCAAAACATGATTGATTGCCAGTGGTTCGTCAACTGCTACGTTTATTTCCCCGTAAGTATAGTGTATATTTTTACCCCAGAGATGGATGTGATCTTGCCCCATTGAATGACGTGATCTGGTGCTTACAACCTTCGGCTAGCAAGGTTTTCCTCATGTACACGTAGGCTTCCGCGGCTCGAGTCCATTACTTCTAGGCTGTCCGGGTGACGCCGCGTCGTTGGCAGATAGGCCGACGTTTCGCCTGTCATGACGCAGTCTTCTTCAGGGTAGTGACTCACTACCCTGAAGAAGCCTGCGACATGACAGGCGAAACGTCGGCCTATCTGCCAACGACGCGGCGTCACCCGGACAGCCTAGAAGTAAGGTTTTCCTCAAACAGGTATCTCCCATCAGCCATCGTCCCAGCCAAGCTCTAAGCCCCCGACTGGTCTCCCGGCATGTGTGATAGTGTTGTGCACGTAAGTGTAAGTGTAAGTCAGGGGTAGACAAGGGCAAGGAATGGTCGTGTGCGGTCCGTTCCCCATTTGGAAGGGTACTGCCCCAGCATTAGCCTGGCATTGATAGAAGAAACCACGGAAAACTACCAATCACAGCAACCGGCCGATAGGCGTCTCGTGCAGGCAATGACTAAAGTTGATCTAGCTGACAAGCTAATGTCGAAAATCCTTTCACCGTCGGTGCTCGAACTCCAGGACCTCCAGGTCATGGGCACTGCAGTGACATCAGTTGATGCCCTGAGCCACCTCTCTCCCTGATTGCAACTTATTATTTTATCAATTTCTTGTTAATGCTTTTCGGATTTTCAAGCAATTATAGAGTCTATTTTTACGCCATTAAGATTAAATAGTGATTTTTTTGCTAGAGAATTATTCAAACCAAACTAACAATTTTTGAAAGTTTCCCAAATAAGCGACCTGAGATTGGAAAATATAATTTTCTTGGGAAAAGTGTTTTGGTATGAAGATAAAAAGTTAATCATTGAGGTTACCCCAATGACCGTAGTACTTTTTTATATTGTGCGATGTTCTATCTTCACAGAAAAAAATCAATATATTATTTCATCTTGTTCTTTTATTTGCAGAATCACGTCCAAAGAAATCGAAATTGGTCATCTGTATTCTTTGCTGGACAACGAATCATCCATGTCAGTTTTTCAGCATGTAAACCTCCCGTTGGCGCCAACATAAGTATTTAGCATTTTCATTTGACAAATTAGTGTATTTTTCTTCTTTTGCAAAAAGTTGCATACTTGTATGTAAGGTACAGTAGATTTTCAATGCTCCACTCTTCAGAGGAATATCAGTCAGTTTCATAAATACTGGTAATCTGAATGTTGGATAGTTGTAATTCCTATAAAGCAAGAAGTAGTACATTAACCCTATGGCATCCATAAAAACAGAAGATAACGATTTGAATTCAAGCCTTCACTACGAACAAAGTCAATCCAAAGAAATAAAAATCAATAAATTTATTTCATTGAAAAGTCGCGTTTATTTATGTGGAAGTGAGTTTGTGTTTCATTAATATCCAATATAAAAGGTCAAATTTGTATCGTATGATCTGCACTTTTATTTTCACATTGACGACTGTAGTTTTGAACGCAAAGTAATATCTAAAGCAATATAACTGATTGATTTTGTTGTTGGTTCACATTTATTATAATTCAGATTTAGATTCCCCTTTAGATTTGAATGTCAGGCTGGATAATATAATAGAACAATTCTAAATCTTTTTCTTGTTAAATCTAATTTTGAATAAATTGTTATTTTTTTTCTATTTCCTCTCACAAGTTTGAAATAGAGTCCGTTGTATGAGGATCGAAATGTAATCGGACAAAAATAATTTAAAGTAGCTAATAAGAGTGGAAAATAATTTGCACTTTGTGTGGTTCAAATTTGTGTAGTGGAGAACGAATTGTGGAAGTTGAATGTTGAATTGCATTGAAACTACTGTGCCTTCGATTATTTTTTCATGTCCTGTGAATTATGTAATGTATATGTAAATACTGTTCCTCACGTAATTGTCAACGAACGTCTTCAGTCAACAGTCTGCGAACGAATGTGGACATCAACATTTTTAACCTCTTGTACAACAATGCACCGTAGGCACTGTTGTAAAATACCATGGGATAATATTTTAAAATTTTGTGTTCGTTGCGATAGAAAATACGAATTTTCTTGTGTCTTGCAAAGCCAAAGAAGTTCCAATAATATTTTTTCTCGGGTATTCAATAAAAACTGTATGAATTTGTATTCGTGAAATATAACCAGAGCTATTACTGGATAGATGTTTCAACTACTTGAAAGACATTTGGAACATCGCTTTTCTAACTGTCTATTGGCACAGATTTATATGATAATTAATGTCAAAACCTTCGTTTCGGAAATTTTGGTACTTAGCTCCTTTGGCTTTGCAAGATGTCATTTAATTCCAGTTTATTATTTGCAATATAATTCGAATATCATGTAAATTACACGAATGTCACCGGAATACGCAAATATGCATTATTAATATATGATTCTCTTCAGATTTTGTTACTCAGCCCCAAAATGAACAGGGCTGTTTTTTTAGAAGTGTTTAATTGTAGCAACATTCAATGTAACTAAGTTACAACCAGCTTGTTTATATCAGAGATTCATAGTAAAATTAGATATTTTACTATGAAGTTTATAGCACATTGATTTCTGATTAACTTTTGCATTTGCTCAATATGTTGAGGGTCCTTCAGAGAGATTGTTTGGTATTTAATTCAGTCAAACTAATTAATGTCACTAGGTTGTCAATTGATTGCCTAGTGTTTCCTCTGCTTTCAATTATTTAATCAATTTTACTGAACTATTCACGAGGTTGACTAATTCAATTTATATATGTTACAATTAATCTCAGGGCTGTTCCATTCTGGCGAACAGGAAAAACATCACCTTTCATACGAGAACTCGATGAGGAAGTTACTAATTGCGGAGAATCTATGGATTTCTCTACTTCGAAAAATACGCCATTCAAAAATAAATTGCATGGCAACAATGGTATCGTGCTATTATTTATAATATCGTTTGCGCAACTTTCTCTGTTTTGACATAACACATTGACACCTATCAAATACATGCAGTAGATAGTACCCCTATTAGCCCCCGTTTTTTTTAATGCGTCTGTATTGACGCAACGCGTCTCTTAGCTCCTTGAGTCCACTGTGGAGTACTCCTCCGCTAACATTTACAAATGGAGTAATTAATTCTCCGTTAACATTTTTTTACTAGTGTCCGGTTTCCGCGCAGTTAGTTGCCAAGAGGGCCGCCAGGTAGCATCTCCGCGTACGCGCCTCCCACTACATGCTCCTGCGTCACTACCTGCGGCCAGAATTGGGAAGGAATTAGGATTGGAGTAGGGTTTACGAAACTGCACAGAGGTTGACCTCACCCTTGTGAAGTTGGTTTTGTTGGATCAAATTTCACATGAAATTGTGCGGTGCTCGAAGGGAATCGAACCAGGGCCTCCTTGGTGAAAGGCAAGCGACTTCACAGCTCAGCTTCCACTGCAGACTTCAAACCGCTGGCTGCTGTCTCCCCACTGCACCACTGTTTACCGCGATGCACACTTCACAGCTCAGCTTTCACTGCAGACTTCAAACCACTGACTGCGGTCTCCCCACTGCACCACTGTTTACCGCGATGCACACTTCACAGCTCAGCTTCCACTGCAGACTTCAAACCACTGACTGCTGTCTCCCCACTGCACCACTGTTTACCGCGATGCACACTTCATAGCTCAGCTTCCACTGCAGACTTCAAAATACTGAATGCTGTTTCCCCACTGCACCACTGTTTACCGCGATGCACACTTCACAGCTCAGCTTCCACTGTAGACTTCAAACTGCTGAATGCTGTTCACCCACTGCACCACTTTTCACCGCAATGCATAAAAAACAAAACAATGACACACAAAAATACATTAAAACTTGATCACCAGGCACGATCGTATATTTAGATGTGGATTTACCATTATCTTCCTCCCAAAATTGCAATTGAAACGTAATTGGGAACGAAGGCGTTTTTGCAACATTCGTAGGGCATTGAGAGCTTTCAGTCAGCTTCCTGCCACGTGTAAGTTTACAAACCACATGTCGCATCTTTTCGCACGAAATGTTCTGGATTCTAATTATCGCGTTACAGTTTCGAAACCATGATTTTTCTTTGCGAAAGTACACGTAATACTCTCACGTAGTTACAAGAAAATCTTCGCAACACAACACACAATACACGTGAAAAAAACAGGCAACCAAGAACTATTACCAGTCGCATGCGGTAAGAGCTCTTTGTCAGTACTAATAACCCACGTCTCGTTACATGCAAAGTCAACGTTCTGGACGAGGACTGTTGTGAAACATGCGTGTGTAGTGGGGTGAAGACGTCCCCTCCCACCCGTTGCGGAGTTCAGAGTCGTTAGCTGGTGACCACTGGGGTTTCCAGTCCTTCTACTGAGAGGAGGTGATCCACGCTGGCGATAGCGAAACTTTGGGGGGGAAGACAAGTAAGCGCCAATGAGAAGTCCGAGATTCAAACGTCAGCGTCGCATCACCGTTGGATGGAATCACATGGCAGCGTCGCATCATCACATGGCGAGAGTTCAAAGACCTCGCTAAAGAAGCGAAGTTGTCTGAGGGATGACTCTCGGCCTGTCGCGACCACTGAGGTGACAGACGTCTACCGGAAAGCGCCTGAAAAGACGAGAGGTGCGAATAGAACAGAGAGATACGACTGAGGAGTAGAAAAAATATTTTTAACAGTATTAAAAGTATTCAAAGAGCCGAAAAACGTGGGGATGCGACTTATTACTTACATCCATTGAGCCTATGCCACTAGTGCAGTCTCTGTGCGCAGTCAAATTTTGTTTTTACCATATCGCTGTTAGATTGCTGAGGATCTTTCCTCTTAATGTTTCAAGTTATGATTATAGTGCATATCTATCAGCTGGTATTTGTGCGATTTCCGGTATTCGTCGTAAACATTCGTCAAGTGTTATATGGTGTATATGGTTGTTTCTTTCCGTTCATGTACAGCTTGCTAATTCCAACATTCTTACATTCCCGGCGCACATTGTCCATCTTGCACAAATTCATTGTTGACACGAAAATCTCTTTGGAAACTGCGTATTTGGAGTTGCAGTGCACTTTTTCATAGCAGGGTATCGTTGTTTATCAATCTCCGATTTTATCGCTACATGTCATTAAATGAGACTACATCCGTTCCCCTCAAGGAAGTTTTACACTATTCGTTTTTCGAGAGAGAACGTCCTATTGAAGTGTTTTGTGTTTAAATCTTTCATCGTAGCTTACACTCGTTTCCCCCGACATTTCATGTTTAGACTTATTGCATAATTCTCGTCTTCTTCATACAGGTTGGCTGTGATGGCAGTGGGACATCTGCCGTTCGGAATGTTGTTGAATTGATGTCCATCGACTTCATGAAATCGGATAGGAATTTAGTCTGAGTTGTCCAATATATGTTGTTTGTTCACCAGGGGGTACTTACAGCTTGAAATATATCTTCGGCGCTTTTCAAACGACTGTGATCTCGCTACATAGGCCTCTTTACGATTTACGTTAATCAATTTTAGTACTAAAACATGATATTCCTTCTTGTGTCTTTAGAGTCTTGGAAGAGCTTATGCTTAGGTAGTAGTTCTATATTTTCCTAACCATTCTCTGCTACCTTTTACCACTTGATACGATGCAATTTACTTGAATTATATATGTACTTACGATCAAAAGCGGTTGAGTTAAAATGACTTTGCTGTCAGGAGATCCATTAAAAAAACTGTAAAACTTTCGCACAGTTAATCCCTTAATTAATGATAGACATTTTTTGAAATCATTACCTATCAATTTCTTCATTTAATAAAATAACGTTTTTAACAATTGAGCTAACATTTATATTTTAGCCCTTTAAAAACTATAACACGAGATACCGTCTTAATTAATGTACCTGACTCAAACGCATCGTCTATTATCGATCTAATTTCTGTGAATTGTATGTCGTTGGTCAATTGCATACATACTATTACGGGCTATCGCTTGTCAGTACATGACTCTGTTCCTAAAGGGACATACGTCAAGCGGATCTAAAAATGTCCTGAGACTGAATGTATCTGGTGCAGTCAATTGATGTCCGAATTTTTTCTCTATTTTCAATTACTCCATTTCAAATTTAGGATTCCAGAGAAAAACATTAATGATGGCATGCGCGTTCTATTTGAATGTGATTCGCAGTATTGCTATTGCCATT